GGGGTCAGGTGGCCATGCTGCTGACCTAAGGCACTCTAAAAGTCAGAAGCGGTGGCACTAACTTGAAGCTGTCAGATTGACAAAAATCTCCTTTTGATTTACTGTCTTTGTATGTTTCCTATATACACTGTATGATTAGTGGTAATCAATAGGAAGCATGCAGTGTTGGTTGCTCTGAAGTCCTGTAGAGCGTTGGCTTCTTCAATTTCTGAATGCCTGTAAGCCTCTTCTCATCCTCATCTGGGAACTCTATCTCTGAGGCATAGATTCTGGGAACCCTTCAATGCATGCCAGCTTAACCACCATTCTCCAAGAGTTTACTGGGGATGGTTTTGGCATCAGGCCCAGGCTTTGCTGGGGGCAGAGTGTGATCTTTTGGCAGATGAGAAATCTTGCTTCACAGGCCTGCTCGCTGCTTAAGAAACTTACATGCTACAATGGTCAATCTTTGGGGAACTGCCACCCTCTCTTGCCCTCTTCTTTTGATCAACCTAATGACCAATAGTCAGACAAGACACATGGTAAGAGGTTGTAATCCAGTTGAAGAATACCCCACACCATAGCTAGTTTGACATTCTTCAATTTTGAATACCAAAATTGGCTTTTACACTCACCAACACAAGATTGGAAGAATGAGCTTGGTTTCACATTCTACTTGATGTGTCACATGGAATATTTGTCTCCGGATACCTCTAACCAGATTCTTGTCTCAAGGTATGAAAAGCACTCCTTTATTATCATAGTACAATTTTAGTCACTAAATAGAATGGGGAATTTGAATTTTGCAAGGAGAAGCTACACAAACCCACCCAGACAGACAGACCCCCCATGTACCACTGGAATTGTGGGCTACAGTGGTGTCCATGATGGTGGTGATTGGAAGTGTTTGCTGTGAAAGTCAACTGGCTTTATTGGTTAGTGGGGAAAAGAGGTTGAGTGTGATCCTAATTTGGATTGCTTAAAGCATGGTTTCCTATGCAATTAGGGAAATGGGAGCTCTAGATGCTGTTTAGCCACTGGGGGAAGGGAAGGGGAGATGAGATGAGACAGGTCCATGGCTTGCCCCTCCCTCCCTGCCTATCCTTTTTGTTCCCATTCAAGTGGGTTGCCAGCCACTGCCTTTCTGGCAAACCAAGCAAAGAGGAAGTTAGTTGTTTTAATTCAACCTCAATTCATTCATTTCATGTCATGACCCCATGTTCAAGTAGTTACACTTGAGTGTGGTTTGGCATTGAAGGAGAGCATGCCTGAGAGAAGGTTAGGATCTCATGTACCAAAGGGGGGGAGGGACTTTCTGAAGAAGAAGAAGAAGGAGAAGAAAGGAAGAAAATTAAGAAAGATAGGAGGAGAAAAAGAAGAGCTGACCCTTTTACAACATTATAAGAATGCCAAATGATTGTATTCAAGATAAAAATAAGAAAAAAATCCCAAGGGCAAAAATTGTCAATGGTAATCCCATTTTGGCAAATGATATTGAAGTGGAGATGAATGTGTGTGAGTGTGCATTTTATTTCCTTTTATTTTATCTAGAATTCTAGTGAAATGAGAAGGTCCTCCTGAAAGTCTGCACTGTTGTTATTAGCTCAGTTCATAGGGTCTATTTTCAGCCCCACTAGAAACACAAATTAATTTGCAATGACATGATAATATGATTGTTGTTATATTAAAAAACTATAAAACTTAGTCATATAATCTGTTTGAGGAGTGACTCCACACTTTGCATGTAGATTTCTTCTCAAACCTTGAGTTCAGGTATCTTAAATGTCAATTGAATCCAAATCACAATTTTGTAGACGTGTAATGAATGAAGTAATAATAATAATATATATATATATATATAATTTTGGAGATGAAACTCCACAGCAATAAGTCCCAATTTACAATTCTAAAGTTAAGATTGTACTCCAGTACAACACTTATGATATTATGGCTACTCCAATACATGTTTTTATATATTTTATGTGAGAATAACCTTGTTTCAAGAAGTTGGTACTAAACATTAGAGAGGTTCATGTGCAGTCATCACATCACAAGTGGCATTCATCCTTTTGTTTTAACAGTTTTGATCTTGTGAATTCTACAAGTTTCAATGCAACAACCCATTCAGCAAAAATAATCAAAGACTGGAATTGTGCAGTAGAGCTTGGTTTTCTACTGCAGGACTGTTGACAAATTGAGCAAAAAAAAAAAAAAAAAAAAAAAAGGAAGAAAGAAAAAATATATATCATGCCAGGCTCATAACCAAAGCATTTTAGACTGATTCAGACCACCTTCTTTTTTTTCTTCCATTTTTTCATTTTGTTCTTATCTATTTCCAACAATGATAAAAACTAATTTAAACTGCAAAGGGGGAGCCCAGTTCACCCATGAGAATACACACAACTTACATGGTTCTGACTTCAGAAAGTGCCATTAAGCAAAAGGCAGGCTCCAGAGAGATAGAGTGAGAGGGAAAGAAACAGCATTCAGACATTCTTAACCTAATAATGCAGGGTGCCAGTGTGTCTGTCATAAGTCAAATGGATCTCTGGGGTTGAAGGGAACTGGAGAGCGAGAGAGAGAGAGAGAGAGAGAGAGAGAGAGAGCAGGGCTATGATGGCATGGCAACCCCACATGTAACCCACTTGCTCTCCACACCCATAGGCTCCCCTTCCCACCACTTGCCCTATGACTGTAGCCTCAAGCAAATTATCTTTTTTTACACATACTTATCCTACCACCATCACATCCTTCATTGGAATGATCCCCTTAGTGTACAAGCAGTGCCAAGAAGGTCTAGGTGGATTAAATTAACTTCCACAATTCAAATAAGCAAGCAGTTGAAAGTATTGCAAGTCAGTCCATTCCACTCCTTTCACTTCCATTTCAGTCATCCCTGTGTTTTGTTGAGGTAACCAATGAGAGCTAGACCAATAGCTTGGACAGAAGCTAAGCCCTAATTTAAATAGGACTTTGAGGCAAGCACCTTTCAGACAGGAATGCCCAGCTCTGCTTAATGTTGGATGCTCCAGATTGTAGTGCTTGCATACTATCTGTATTGTTGTTTTCACAGCCTATGCTCCCTTCCAATTTTGGTTCCTCTCAGGTGATGTCTTGTCCTGCATACTTACAAAAAGCACATCATTTACTTTGATATTGAGATGAAGATTTGCTAGTAGAGTTTTTTTTAATTGTTTTGTGTGTAGAATGGGAGCTCAAACTTCTCACAGGTACCAAGGCTAGAACCTGTGGCATTGTGGGGGGGGGGGGTTATCCTTTGTGTTGATGAATCACATGTGTGTTGAATGAGTGGCCATGGTCACTACCCATAATGTATCTTTTGTCTTGCTTGGTACTTGCATTAGAGAAAAACGAATAAATAAATAACTAAATACTATATATACATTTATATAATGATAGAGTATCAGCCAGCTCCATTGATTGCAGGATGTGATCAACTGCATTCAATGAGTGCTTAGAATGTGCACTGCCCAGAGGGGCAGTTTTTTTTCCTCTGTTTTTATTTTTGTGTTTTTTTTTGTTTTGTTTTGTGTTTGTTTGTTTGTTTGTTTTTTTTTTTTTGAAGAAAGAATAGTTACTGGAAAAAAAAAGAAAAAAAAAGGGAGGAGGCAGGGGGGGGGGTAATACCCAGCAGACTGAAAGGGACATCAGACAACTCATGGATAAGGACCTGCTCTTTAAGTTTTTGTTTCATTAATCCCAACTTATTGGACTTTACCTAACTCAATACTCTCAGAAGTACTGGGTTGCAGAGGGTCAGCATCCATGCCCATGATGGGTGTCACAAGTGAGTTAAGAATGAAAGTAAGCTGTCAAACATATTTCACACTTTAGAGGGGGTGGGGTAAGGGGGATAAATAATGAAACTGGAAGACAGGCCTGTAGTGATGGCCAATTGAGTGAGGAAAGAAATCATTCATTTACTCATCAATAACACATCCATCCATCCATCCATTCAGCTATTTCATTTACTCACTACATCTTTCTTTCACGTGGGTAAAATATGTTCAGCTGCAGCCTGGTGCTTTCTTTTTACCAATGTATGCTGCTGTTTTTATTCATTTTCTTCATCTTTTTGCAACTCAGCAATTCATATAATCCAACCTTTTTCCACAGCTTGACACTAAAAAGTGGTTAACATGACATGATTAATTTTTTAGGAGTGATGGCTTTCTTTAAATCTCACAACACTGCCAAAAACAGGCCTTGAGGGTGTCAAAGCCTTCAAGGCTGAATGGGCACACACCCATCATGGGCACCCACTACCAAGCTAACCCCCACTTTTTTGCTACTTGCAATCAGCCCCACTAGCAATAGGAAAAGGGGGGGGTGTATAGAGAAGAATTAGGAGCACCCATCATTCCTACTAATCACAACTTGCATGCAGTGGACTGTGGTTATGGGGGGGCATCCTTCCAATGGATTCTTGGCTCTTTAACCACAAACTTGTGGAACCAAGTCGAGGAGAACACGTTCCCATAGGATGGTGCACCTGCTGGCTCCAGTCACCAGTCCACAGCGTCACAGGCTGTCAGAGGTACAGGCCCTTTCCTTTCCTTTCCTTCATCCTCTCATTACCCGGGTCGGGCGACCCGTCCCGTCCCGCCCCTCCCCATGCAAAGCTGCACCGGGCCCCCCAGTCTAGAACGGGTGCAATAATAATACTGGAGTAGCATCCAGATTTGTACAGCGATGGAGTTGCGAGGAGGCTGTGGCCGGCAAGCGCGGAGGGAGGTTATTCCCTGCGACGAGCATGCGAGGGAAGATTTTACTAAAACGGGGACAAAGAAGAAGGTATTGGTACGATGGATTGTAGGGGCGTGGATGCGAATTTAAGGAAGGAAGGAAGATTGCCACTCAAATTCCAGTGCAAAAGCAGCATCATCAGGAGGAGGAGGTGGAGTTGGTTTTCCAGTTGCATCCATAGTCGTTGTCGTCGTCGTCGTCGACGTCGCTCTGAGTGTCTGTCCAGGTCTGTCCCGTTCCAGCCTTCATAACCTGTATCCCGAAAAGGTCCCCAGTTTCGGGCGCACCAATTCCTGGTGTCCAATACGCCCACCGGGGAATAGGTGCGGCGCCTTTTCTGGGGTCGCCCATGGTCATCATCCGTCGATTGAAGGTTCTTAGAGCAAGTTCCTCGAAATTGGCTTAGTGATGAGGCACGAAGTGGTTTGACTGTGAAGAAGGTTGGCCAAGTTTTCTGCCTCTAGGGACCCCCCCCCGGCTGGCGAGTCACGAGAAAAATATTTGAACGCTATGCTTGGCTTTTGGATACCACGTCTGTCTGTCACTCCCTCCCTCGCTGGGATTGTGGTCGGGAATGATCAATTTCTGAGGCCGGGTGATAATGCGCTACTGACGAAGGAGTGACAGGTAGCAAAAAAGGAAACGGGTTGTGTACGCGTCGCTAGACGTTGTTATCGTCGTCGTTGTCGTCGTTTGAAGCAGTGATTGTAGCTTTCACCTTTTTCAGTTAGGGGCGTGTGTTATGCTTGATGTGAGTTTTGTGGGGGGCAATTAGCACAATCTGACGTGACGATCGGTTGATCAAGCACGGGAGGAGGGAGGGAGGGGAGGAGCCATCCACCGCGGACCAGAAATTGGGTTCCTGCTCGCCTGGCCGGGTTTGATTTGCTTTGCACCTCTGACCGCTTGCTTGGCATTCAATCAGCATAGTATTGCTGTGGGGGATGGAGATGGACTCATATAGGAGGTAGAGTATAATACTCTGTCTGCAAGTCAAGTGGTTTCTTTGGTAAAGAGCCGCGTTGTTTTTGTAGTTAACCTGTATAATACCCTTTGTGATGTAGTGGCAATATGAGGTGGGATTTCACGGTAATGACTTTACCATCCTATCCCCCCCTTGCGCAAACTTTCCCATCCTCCCTCCCGACGCTTGTATTCGGATCCAGGTTCCGGTCGGGACACCTCTGGTTGGGAAGGGGTGGACTTTGAAGAGCTCTGATGATTCCTAGATTCTGTCTGAAGTGGAAGGGTGGGTTCATTGATGCATGCCTGGTCGTGAGTTAGAAGTAAATGCTCAGTGCAAGAGTGTGGGTGAGGGTGATAGAGAGCGAAAACACGCCTCCACACAGTCCTCTGCTTCTGCAACTGTTCAGATTTTGTTTTTAGCCTGCTCTTTAAAAGACGATATTGTTTTTTCGCGAATGATTGTGATTGAGAGTGCGAGAGTGGACTAGAGTTAGGGAGGGATTTTTATTTTTTTAATTTTATTTATTTATTTATTTTGTGTGTGTGTGTTTGTATGTGGAAAGGCCTTCATATAAATGCGCACTTATCTTCCTGATACCAGTTTTTCTGGTTCCTGGAAATGGTCGTTAGCTGCTTGTGCGGTGTGACTCTGTCTGAAGAGCTCTGCACATAGCTTTCGAGGCACTTGTCGTGAGCACCTGGTGTAGCTCGGCCTGTCTTTCGCAATGCTTGCTTTGACAGGTTGAGTCAAACTGTCTAACACCCTTCTTGCTCCTTCTTATCTTCATTTCCAGTTCGAACTCGAGAGAGTAATTCAAGTGTTTCTGAATCCTTACCCTTGTTGGAAAGCTTCGTGCTTAGAATGAAAAGTCCTCTTGGGACTCTACCTCCAGATTATGAACATTTTGAGCACAAAGTGAGATAGTCAGTTCCGAGTGGAAAGGATCTAGAGCACTTGTATCACTGGGAGTATTCTTGAACACTGTGCAAGTGTACAGCGCTACTTCAATTCTCTTCGAAACGTTCACAATCAGTGTGTATTTTCTCCGACAGCTTCTCGTGAGTGAGGAAGAGCAACCAGAGAGGGTGCACTTGGAAAGGAGCAACGAGTTTGGGGTTTTAGTGCGAGCGCCAGTAGAGTAGAGAAAGAGTTGAAAAGTGGCCTGAGAGGCAGCAGCCTCGGGGAAAGCCTAGACGGTCCGAAAGAGGGGTATGGTCAGCTCATATATTCGCAGTAACAACTGCAACTGGAAGCATCGGACGGTTTGGGAAAGTGTGCAAGAGGAGCGAGGTCATGTGGTATTGAGAGAAATAGGAAGCCGAAACGGCGGAGGAGAGTGGAGGTCTTAGTGCGATGGATTTGGGGACTGGCCGTGAGGGTACTGATCCACAACAGCAACAGAAAAGTTCGCATCAAACGCAGCAGCAGCAGCAACCCCAGCCACTCTCACCGCTGCCAGCACCCCTTCCTTTGCTGATGCCGCAGCCGCTGGCCGTATCCAACTTTCATTCCGCTCCACCACCGCTTCAGCAGCACCACCAACATCATCAGCTGCATCATGAGATACCAAGTTCTACGAAGCTGAAGCTCTTGAACACTTCCAGCGGCAACGGAGGGTCAGTACCATCCAAGGGCGATCATGTAGGTGCAGATCAGGCTCGTGAGATCTTGCGTCAAGCAGTTCAGGGAGCAGCCGCTGGTAATGAGTCGGCGTCCACAAAGCCGTCGAATGTGAAGAAGGGTACCGTTCGGTATCGAGAGTGCCAGAAGAACCATGCGGCCAGCATTGGCGGCCATGCTCTTGACGGTTGTGGGGAGTTCATGCCCGGTGGCGAAGAGGGTACCGTGGACGCGCTCCGTTGCGCGGCCTGCGACTGCCACCGCAACTTCCATCGTCGAGAAGTTGAAGGCGAGGTTCTGTGCGAGTGCAAGCGCAAACAAAAGCCTGGTGTACAACTAGGTGCGGCAGTGATCACATCCCAGCACCCACCTGGCGGGACCATACCGTCCACCCCAATGGCCACTCTGGCTCTACCGCCAAGCGCTGGTGTAATGACACCGTTGACGATGGCGGCATTGAGCACTGGTGGTCCCACAGACAGTGACGAGCAAGACGATGGCCTGGGAAATAGTGGCGGTGGCATGATGATGTCCATGAGGTCGCCCTCCGCGATCAAGAAACGGTTCCGGACGAAATTCACGAATGAGCAGAAGGATCAGATGTGTGCATTTGCGGAGAAGGTCGGGTGGCGCATCCAGAAACACGACGAAGCTTCCGTCCAGGAGTTCTGTGCCACGGCGGGCATCAAGCGGCATGTCTTGAAGGTCTGGATGCACAACAACAAGCACACCATGGGAAAGAAGCCTACATAACGCCTACCTATCCTTGGCCAAGTAGATCCATCTATTCATTGTCCTCAAATCGACGTCGATCGATTCTGATGTACACTTCTTACTTTCATGTGATTAAGTACAAGTTCTGTGCTTGTCAATGCTCAGAATTTCGTACACGAGACATCAACTAGCTGTTTCTTCTTGAGCTCTCTCAATCTGCCAAGCTGTTACGCATTCCAGAGTTGCCGAACAGGGGTTCCTCGAGGCCTTGTAAGTTTATCGATTTGATCCGCTATAAGACACTTGGTTATCATTCCTTTCCAAGAAAATCTGGATGAAGCGTAGATTGCTGACCAGAGATTCCATGGCTCTCAAGTCAGGGTTCGTGTTTGATCGAAACCCGCCGCTGCCTTACGGCTCGGCCAGCTTACGACATCGACTTCTGTCTGTAAAGTACCATGAGGTGAGCGTTGATCTCACTGGCTCCAGTGTAGCATTAGTACACTAACAGGAGTTGTTGTGGAAACCACTCCTATTAAAATAGTCTGGTATAATTTCTAGATTAGTTACATTGAATCGCGTAAGAGAGACGTAGCAGTAGCCTGGAATTCATTGTGATCGATTCCGTAGCAAGCATTGGCATCGAAGTCGATCAATATATCAGAGCCCTCACTTCCACGACGTTGTGGAGATGTGTGTGACCGACGTGGTGATGTAGCAGCATCAGCGTAGCACAATGTTGAGTTAAATATCATACCGTGAATATGTGCTTCGTATCTACATCGTAATGTGGTAGCCGGATTACTCTCTCCATTAATTTATTCTCATGATATTATTCTCTCTTGCTAAATCCTTGTCGACCTTTCTCTGCTGTCCACTCATTCATGGTACTGTTGGAAATATATGATGTACCCAAAGCTTATGGAGCGCGTGTTCATGAGATGTTGTGAGGACTTCAAGGGTTTCTCAGTTCACCCAAAGCTGGCACCCGCACGGGAGCTTCTTTGAACTTCATTGTAGAGGCTGTGCAATATGGGTCGGGAAGTGTGATATCATCTGCTTTGGTTTGCGTCTTGCGATCTTGCTGACCGATGACAAATCACGAGGACAAGTCTCCCGTGGTGTCCGAGTGATAGACTGAACTTTCAAGTTCATCGTGCTTCCGCTGATAGCTTGGTAGATTTTTCTCCCTGTTTTGCTGAATGTTGGACCTGAAACTCGTCAATGGAGGTGGAAGGCGATTGCATCGAATCAGGTTGGTATTGGATGCTCAATTGCGACATGAAGTGTTTTGTGTTCCGGACTCATCGAATTAGACTCTAGACATAACTCTGTCGTGTACCGACATTGCTTGACATGTTTAGTTCCAGCAACATTGATATCTAGTTCTCTGGTTTCACTCAAATTTGAACCGACTTGTAATTCGCGGCTTCACGCGGACGATCTCTTAAGAATTACATTCACGTGCTTCGCTGGTCGTGGATATTGACCAGAAGAGCTCATGTTCTTCTGAGAGTGACAGTGACGAGTTGACGCCCTCTCAAACTCCTCCTGTGGTTCACCTGATCTGCACAGAACTCGCCCAACCATTCACATCGCTGGACAATCTGGGACTTTGCGTGGGTCACATCCTCACCGTTTTGTTTTCTTAACTATGTTGTCTGTTGATGAACTACGAGTCCCAAAATGGTCTGTCCACCGATGGATTTATCCTAGATATTAGGGGGTGATGAATCTTTGTTTCTCGAAATGCTGTGCAATTTTATTTGCAGGAACATCATCTTAATTTGGATGCAACATTGTCAATAATCTTCTCAAGTTTCTGGCTCAGAAATGATTATTGTATCTCTTCCATTTCTTTATTTAAACAACCAAATTTCTTCTCTACTGGCTCAACTGTTAGCTCTCCACCAATCATTTCAGCACACTGTGTAGTCAGCCAATTGGATAAGACAAGATGTAAACATTCTCATAATGGTGGGTAAGTGGTTTATATTGGACCCAGTGGGTTTGATGTGTAGTGCTAAGGTAGCATGTAGATGTTGTGTGTTACGAAATACCTTGAACTAGACACCCACTTGTTTTTATCACCAATGTGTGCATGATTTGCACACCAAATGCCTGAAACTTTGCTAAGTATGCATCAAGAGACTCAATTTTGCTTCAATGAACCCACATAACTTGCCCTACAATGCACAGGATGGCCCAATGGGAATGCCTTGAAGGTCATGCCAGCAGTAACTTTGTTGAATTTTATCAGGTCGTGGCTGGCTTTTGAGAAAAAAGATACTGCAATGAAAAAGAAAAAGAATGCAATACCCCACACATGATGAACAGGTTTTGTTTATTTTTCTTGAGAATGGGAAACATGGGCCCCTTGTTTTGCAAAATTGGAAGGTTCTAATTCGCTCCAGTTGTTTGTAGTCATTCTTATCTTGTCATGGTCAACATTGCCAACACTTTTTCCCGCATGTGAGTCAGGCTTTTGCCCTGTAAAATGGTATCTGGCTTTGTTCATGTGGGGCAAAAGTAACACAGCCCATGTGGTTACAATTACTCACAGAAAAAGAAAGTCGGAAGTAGAAAAAAATTCAATTCTCACACCACCTGCCCTCCTCTTCATTGGCTTTACCCCCGTAAAGAAGATTAACTTTATTTTAACAAATTAACCCCAAAAATCTGTTTTTTCTTTCTTACCCATTTCCACACAAAAATGAAAATAAAAATAAAACAGGCTCGACCTTCCACCCAGAGAAGTTTGCAAGGTCCTAACTCCATCACCATGATTCTCTTCATTACAGAATCTGTGAACCTCCATCCCTCTGTTCCATCTGTACAACTCAAACCTCTTTTTCTCTGTGATGTGCATTCATTCTTTACTTGAACCTGTATTCTGCATACGTGCATTCACCTTGTTTTATAATTACTTATTTCTTTATGTGTAGTGTGTTTCCTATTTTCGGAGATTTTCATTTAATACAGAACTTGCGAACACAGAAAATACAAAAATAAAAAAGGATACAAAATCATGCCGAACGTACCTAGTGGGCATGCCATGGTTGAACCCACCTGGCTTTGTTGTGATGTATTTGTTTATCACCGAACTCTTGGATTGTTGCTTGATAAGGTTGCGGGAATCTGGGGCCTGGCAAGCTAGAATGAGAATATGCTGCGGTAACTTTTGGGATGGGTGCGCAAAGAAGTGGCGTTCCAGATGTGGATGTTGCGACGTCATTCTGGAACTCACGGCCCACGTACAGAATTTGTGTGTGGGGTCGACATGGGAACTCTCTCTCCAGGAAGGATCCTGGCGCCGTCACGAAGCACCACCCGGCTACCACTTGCACTCACACGAGCTTTCTGTTTGGTTTTGGCCATTTAGTAATGAACAAACCCCCTCTCCTTGTTCATCTGAGGAACAAAAAACTCACCATGTTGTGTGTTCAGTGCAGAACCAAAGATGTTGAGGACAGAATGGGGGTGAACTGATTAGAACAGCCCCTGATGTTTTCTTCGCAGAATCGGTCAATGGAACCCGGTATCAAATACACCACGGGTCATCAGTCGACTGCAGTTTGCGAACAATTACTTGACCTTCGACTGGAGGTGGCAACAACTCCCAGAGTGAATCGTGCCTTCAGTCGATGAAATCTGCCATCCTCGTGGTGTAGGTCGAAAGTCCGCGATTACATTGCGAATAGCAAATTTGCTAATGAAAGCAAGAGTTTGATACTTCGTTGACATAACCAAGGAATCCATAACCGGCCAGAAAGTGAGGATGTCCTCTTTCTGTGGGGCGTGTAGCGGCCACCGCATTGCGATTAGCCCGTACCAAGGCTTCTGTCCACAACAACGTAGAACACAACAACACCTGAGTTTTGTAGCAGTCTTTTGCGTTTTCTGGACTCGTCCATAAGGATAGAAAATGATAGAGGATGTGGTTGTGACGTCCTTGCTGCCAACAGTTTCTATGATGGGGCTCTGGGTGGGGTCACAGACCACTTCGACTTCGACTTACTTCGTTCTAAAGCCGTTTGCATTTTCTCAGAAAGTCAGTTTTGTTCATTCTTTATCATTTCCAGCTCAAAACCGAAGCACGGATCACAGCCCTTGGATCAATTGTTTTTTAGAAATATATGAAATGACAGAAGAAAGATGTGAATATGCGACTTGCGCTGGTTGAATCTATGGAGAATATTAAGTAAGCCATGTGAAAGCTCGAAGGGAACAACATATTGTAGCAACTTCCGGAACAGCGGCTTACTATCTCTGCAGAATTTAAAAGGGTAGCCCCTCCACGTTTTCACCAGCGGTCACATGCATGAATCACAGACGGTAACCTGGATTCAGAAAGGAGAAAGACCCTCGTCCATTTAATAGAGAGAACATTCACGCCGTGTGCTTCAACGGGCATAGTTGATTGTAGCTCTTGAATCGAGGCGGATACTACGGTTCAGAACATAGCTTCGGTTGCTCTCTGGATTTGTTACGTCTTTCAGGAAAAAAATTTCTACGGCGATCAACGAAATACCAAAAGTCATGCAGAAAATCCAGAGTAATCAAGGATAATCTGTGGGTGTAAACTTACAATTGCTTTTCAAGGCATAAGTTAATCCTGATCGATGGAAACAGAGATTTTCCAGTCTTACAACGACAAGTTGATACCAGAAAAACAACCAAAATACTAGTATTTCCTGGCCAAATCCTCACTCACGCAAAAGTGCTTTAGTATATTCCTGGTGCAGCGGTGACGGTGGTCAAGACGAGAAGATTACATCCATGGATCTAACAATGTCCGTGACCTTTACCCGCATCCATGACACGTGCAACAACAACACTTTAATAAGAACATATTCCAACCTGTCCAGAGTTGGGTTAATGCCTGAAGCTTGGACGACCTTTGTTAGATCTTCAGGGTCCTTCGCTCCCACACATTTCCTTGGCAGAAATTTAATGAGAGCATTTCTAACTGGTTTATATGGAAGGCATTCTTTCAAAATGGCGTTCTTAAAGCCCCTGCAAGGCTTTAACATTGTTATTAACTAACCATATCTGGTCGCAAGTTTCAACATTCCCGAGCAGGTCTAGCCGCAATGTCAAACAAAAGTGAATGGCACCTCACTATCAACTATATCACTTAAAAGAGTTATGTTTGTTTTCTTCACGTTACCTTCATCAAATATGGTAATAGTTTCAATTGCAAGCTTTGCTTACAACTTAGCCAAATTCTCTTCTTTTTAAGGCTTTGTGATTGCTTAAGCCACTTATAAGGATGGTGTAGGCACTTTGCCTTCCAACATTTACAGACTAATTGAAAGATTCCTACTGGTTTAAATCCTAGAGCCAACAATTCAATAGTTGAAAACATAAGCATGTTCAATGCCTTGTAAGTCAAAATATGTGTTGCATCTTTAATATTAATATTTCCATCTTATGTTAAAGTTGAATTAGAAGGCCTTGCCACAAAACTAATATTTGCAAGGCCAAATAATAAAGGCAATTAAACATAAGTATTAGGATCTCCTTAATTGCTTGGATGACTAAATAAAATTTCTTGTACTTCATTTCTTATTAGTGCTATATTATGAGTTTTTATTTGGACATATATATCAATTATAACTACCATTTTACCTAATGTACTAAACAAATAATTTTCTATCAAAGAAGAATTTATTTTATTTCTAGAATTCACATGAAATCCAATGACTTGACTTAGTAAGGCCACCTTATTGAATCTCTTCTCTAACTTGGCAATTTTAGCTTCTAAAGATTTTTCTTTATCCAAAGCAAACTACTTGTGTAGATGTGATATAAAGAAATTATCTTTGTTATGGTTAAGTTTACCATAAT